AAGTGATCTTTTTAGAAGTTTAACAAAAAATACTCCAGAGATCCAGCTCTGGAAACTTTTACATATCTGACAAAAATCTACTGATTTTAAAAACATGTTGGCTAATTTTCAAACTAATGAGGTCTGAGGGAGGATTCTTCAATTTTAAGCATTTCCACTAAAATATCTGCAAAAATGCACAATGAATTCAATTTCACACAATTTCATTTTTGAAAGGAAATATTTAGGTAGTTTCTCATGACAAAAAAAGGAGATAGTTCTGTTGATAAGTTTGTGGAGGTTGTTCCTTTTTGTTTTGATTGATTCTATTTTATTCCTATAAAGATGATGAAATTGGTCGATTAGGATTATTCTACAGTAATTCACAACTGATGAACAGTAAATCAAGATCTTTCTTTTAAAAATCAGAATGCTGACTTGGAAACTTCAGTCTTCCCTTATACTCTATGAAATAAACTGATTATGTCTATGGAATGGAAAGAAAAGGAGAGCATAAGATATATCAGTGCATTTTTTCCCCAGCAATTTCTGCCTAAGCTTTATCGATAATTAGACTTTCAAATATCTTTGAGGATCATGTCTGCTCTCTGTAAACTTCCCTGAATAACTGTAGCTAAACTTACACATAGTGCAAGTGCAATGTGTTTTGCACAGGTACTGTGGCATATACTGAAATGCTGAGATCTTAGTTTTCTATAGTGTTCTGTCTCTTGATTGTTTACTGCTGTTAAAACAAAGGTAAGTGAACTAAGTGATTTCCTGTATACTACAGCTAATTAAAAAAGCACTGAAAAGGCAATTCGACTGATACACTTTAACTAACCCAAGATGATGAAGGTAAACTGAGATGACAAATGAGAAACAATACTAACTGTAAGCGGCCATGTCTACTACACTGGTAAGAACAGCTCTTCTTATCTGTTAAAATTGGTGGATCTGGCAAAACATAAACGGAAACAAAGGCTCCCACAAGCCCCACACCAACAACCTGTTAGTGCTCCTTGGAGCAGCCTTGGTAGTTTCTGACCTTGCACCAGAACTCACTCCACAAAGAGGTGGTTTGTGCTCAGTGGTGGTGTCAGTGCAGGTGCTTTGCTTACTGTGTGTGCTTCAAGGGTGAAATCCTATTTGTACCGTAGAAAACTGGCTTTGTCATGAATCCTACCAGGTAAATAAAGTACTCACAGTTTCTTTTATTTGGAATGTTAAATATCTTTCAGATCCCATGCTCAAATGAATGCATTATACAACATAGGCACTCAGTATTTTCTTTCAGCCCAGTAATGTTTTAGTATAACAGAAAGTCTAATAATTAAAGTAAAAATTCTGAGTTCTTCAAAGTATTAAAGGAGGGAAAACAAATACTGTTACTGGCTTATAATAAGTTAATTAGATAAGGTTATTGCCTTAGACTAGAAACCTGATTAATAATATTATTTATGAAAAAGATCTGGATATAATTGGATTGAAAGGACAACATTTTGCTAGTATGTCCAAAATTATATTATATATGGTCTGAAGAAAATATTTAAGTGTCCTAATGAGATAAACATCTTAATAGTCTCTCGACAATAGAGCTCACTATGTAAAAATTGACCTCAAATAATGACAGAAAAGTAACATGCAACCTAGTTCTTCATGTTCATATCTTGCTGAAATATGTGGGTATCATCTATATACTCTAGTTCAGTGCTTGGCATCGTAAGGGCTTTGGGACCATGACTGTAAATTTACTGAGAGAATTCTCAATACCCAGAAGGGGGCAAAATCAGGTCCAAAATACTTTGTGTTATTATAAAAAAGGAAAAAAAAAATCCACTAGTATTTGCTTCCAAAGCCTTTTAAGACATATTTATTACATTAAAATGTCATAACATACAAGTAAAACAAATAAAGCTACTCATCCTGACACTATTTTAGTTCCAGAAAAACACCTACTAGATCTCTCAAGGTTAAGAAAACAATAAAACAAAAAAGTGCCCATTCAGTCTTAATTTTTACTTTTGTGGTTTGCATTTGTTGTCATTAACAGCAACAACAAAAGTTCTCTTAATTTGAAATTGGCTATAAAGAAGGACAAAAACATAGAAAACAAAGCGGAAAATACCATCTGATTATCATGATTGCATCTTGCACTTGGGTGCACTATCCATCTCTAAACTCTGACTCATCTGCCACCAGCAGGCTTTAAGGTGATAATCACCCACACAGAGCCATTTGCACATCATGTCTATCCTACCCTGTATCTAATTATACCCTTTATAACAAACTGTTTAGCATAATTAGTGGAGTTATGTTTTACAGGAATAAAGATAGAAGCTAGAGTTTAGAGGATTAAACTTTTTGAAGGCGTGTATGTGCAGATTAGTAATTTGGTATTTGGTCATAATAATGAACGTTTTGATGCACTGGTCTGTGAAAAACTGTACAACCATTATTTTAGCAAGTAAAATAATGGAGTTTTCAGAATATTTATATTCTGTATGTAAGCACTGGTTCAAATTATGAAATGGTTTTGGGACTCATTAATTGCTAACACTTTCACCAGTATTTTTCCAGACATGGCTGAAAAATGCTGAAAGGGCCAGCACTGGAATCAAGAATGCTGGAAATGACCAGAGACCCTATTACTCAACTGATAAGACAACAGCAGGTACAAATGACCTTGGTGGGAAAGCTCTGATTTTTAAATTTTTCTTCTAGATGATCAGAAAGGATGTTTACTTAATGACCACTCCTTTTTTATGTTCAAATTATTGATGAGCTGCTTTAATACCAGATTCATTGAGGTAAAAAAGGAATAGGGAATGACACATATATGTGCACACAGGTAAATATATTTCATTTGTCCTTGCTTGCTTTCATTGCAGTCTTCAAAGTGTTAAATGAACATGGCTTGCAGTGGCATCTTCTTTTTATGCTGGCAGTTTAGTCTTCATAACCCCCCACCTCAACCCCATCCTCCTTATACACTAGGAAAAGCTAGAAGCACACAAAAGCCAATGATCCTCTGCTAGTCTTTGCTGCCAGGCAAAATCAAACCCAAACTCCCATCTCCCAAGAGTAAGTTCCTGTCCCTAGACAGGATAAAACTCTGCTGATCTGAACATAAACATTGTATTAGCACAGACAAACGAAGAAATAATGCAGAATCTATTAAAGCAGCCACAACTAATTAATCTTGTTTCGTTTTATGTGTTAATTGTACTTCTGTTAAATTCTCTTAGAGATCAGGATAAATTTATGGGATCTATCCTTGTTTAACGATAATTCAGCTAATTCTATTTTATAGGAAAGATGTTCAGAACATTGTGCAAGTACAACTGCTTTCCCCCTGAGCTATTTAAGAAAAAAAACAACACATGAAAAAACAGAGTATCAGTATTTACTTGTGCTCATGAAGAGATGCTCATGCTTCATCCTTTCCAGGTAGGCAAAGAACTTGGTTGAATTCTACCACATATTATTTCAAGACATTTACAGCAGATTAAAAATAAAGCATAGACTTGCAGAAACTCTTGTATTTCCTACAAAATGTTAAACAGTTTTCCCTTTTGTAATACGTAAACTGTACTTATCACCCCTGCTAAAAATGTAGAGGTCAACAATGCATCCTTTCAGGTCACCATTGTTTAAAAGGTATTTGAGTTTCCCTGTTAAGTTTTCAAAGGCCAACATCTGCTGATGCTCAGAAATGGTAGATGTGGTGACAAAGGCTGCATGGAGTGTGAAGTGAAAACACAACCATATAATGCATGCAACACAGAACTAAGAAACCACAGCACAAGCAAACTCCAAAGAGCTATTTTCCCATTCATTTAATTTCTGTTGTTAATAGCAGTAAGATTCCTGAGAACAGTGACATTAACTTATCTTTCATTTAGTTGATTGCTATGGTTATAAAATATATGTATAAACACAAGTTTTGAAACCATCATATCACTATGCCTTTGCAGTCATGCAAATGCCAAAGGTGACACTAGGGCAGGAACAACGCATTATTGAGACTGAAGGCTTTCATTGTCCTTGATGCTGCTTCACCATTTGAAGCTGCAAAACAGGTGCCAAGGCATTCTGCTGTTAACACTGCTCTATTTGCAAGCGGGCTAGTTTTGATGGCACTTAACTTGCTGTCAAGAGCTCAACAAATCAGAACCATTCATGAGCTTAAGTAAACAGAGCTGATTTATAAATTGTCAGACCTGACCCTGCATCATAAGAAGTTTTACCCAAATTATTAGAAGCTTTTCAGCTGGATATCAGGTATGGCAAACTGCATTTTACTACTGTGATGCTTTATCATTTTGATCACACAAGCTGCATCAAAAGCCTCTGTGAAGCTGAAGCTGTAGGGAATATTCTTCCAGTCAGCCACAGCAGGATCCCATTTCTGCCTGCCTGCTTTACTTGTAATCAGCTAACATGTCCTGACGGTGTGTCCTGCTCAGCTCATAGCTGAGCTACTGTGTGCTTAGTCCCTTCAAGTGTTTTATTTAATCAATCATTCATTGATGTAATAGTTCTTCACACAACTGTGTTACAGTTTAAGTGTAATATTTTTGCGCTTTAATTCCATACGGGAAAGCAGGTTTTTGTCAAAGGAGATAATTCTGCTTATTTTGTGGAATAAAGTCCAGTTCAGAGGCTGCTGGAGTTAGTGCAAAGATTCTAGCTGATACACTGCATTTGCTAACCTACTTCATACAAACAAAAAGTTTCCATTTATAAATTCTTCTGCTTGCTCCTTGAATTTACACACACACTTGTATGAAAATTAGAGGTCCTATTCTTCTTATTAGAAAGCACGTTTTTTTTCTTAAACTTTTTTTGGGAAAAGGTGTAATATTACATGTTAATGCAATAGAGGAAGGCCAATACACAGTCCCCGCACTATAGAGCAAATTTTCAGAGAAACATTATCAACAACAGAAAGGGATTTTGGGAAATTAGATCCAAGAAGCTGAATGACAATGCCAAACAATACTGGTTTAATTACTTACTACCAATACTGGAAATACTTGGTATACCTGGAGAGAAAGAAAACACAAAAAATATAGTTAGCTGCTTGGTGTAGTTGGCTGAGCTATTGCATCTTACATTCTGAAAACAATTTTCTCCCAATTTTCAGAATATTATATCAATACACACAGCTAAACCCAAGCAACTGCCAGTATGTAGCCAGTGTCTTTAGATTTTTCAGTACGAGGCAGCAGGGACCACTAAAATGTATTGACAGATGGGTATTTCTGGGACCTCCACCAGCCCTCTGAACTTCATGAATTTGTTCAGAACAGTTTTGTATTTCAACTAACCAGCCATTAGGTTTAATGCTCTAGATAAAAATATCAGTCATGCATGTATTATGCAAATCTAGGAGAATAATTTAACCAAGGGATAGATCCATTGCTAACGGCTTTGGCCAGCTGCTCAAATCAGTTGACAGTTTCTGTCGCATTAACTGCACATAGCCATTTTTTCCTCTCTTACCTGATGGTTATCTGAATTAAGCTATGGAAAAGAAAGGTAATTGAGCGAAACAATCTAATGCATTAAGTTGGTCGTATTGACTAAGCTTCTCATTGATTTTTTTCTTTTTTTTCTGTTTTCGTTTCAATTCCTAAGCTGAGTTAATAAAAGGAAACCATTCCAGAGGCAAGTGAGATTTACCAGAAGAGGTGGGGCTGCTGAGGAGTAAAACTGCTCTGCTGGATTAGCAATGCAGAATCTCATGTTGCATGATGCAGCCTCATCATGTAGCTTGTTGTCAGGTCCGTCCTGAAAGGTGTGTCGCACAAAAATATGGACATGAAATCTTTCCTGAAATGGCACTATTGCTAGTCTCCTGGGTTAAAGTCACAAACTGCAGATCAGTATTTAAATCCCAGCTATTTGCATCCCCTTAGTTAAGGACAGTTTGCCTCTTATAAGTTTTATAGACTTTTCATGGCATCCATTTTACTGCAGAAATCTGTCTGTTTCTCCATTAAACATCTGCTATACTTCTTTCAACATCTATCTTGATGTTGTATCTTGTTCTGAGATGGTATGGACCTCATTCTGCAAGTAAGCAAGCTGGAGTGAAGGAATGTCTTGGAGATAAATGGTATTCACTGTAGGCAAGGTTGTAGAGCCAACGTGGGAACGCTTCTAACTTGTGGCACAGCTAAGACAATGCTGAAGTAGTTACAT